TGGATTTGAAGTTTTAAAGTTTTGAAATGTTTAGAATTTAACTTGAATCTTTGAAGTTTTAGAGTTTTGAAAAGGTTTGAAAGTTGGAGTTGAAGTTTTGAAGTTTTTTTAAAGTTTTGAAAAGTTTCAATGTTGAAATGTTTGAAGTTCGTAAAATTTGAAGTTTTAAAAGTTTCAAGTTTGAAATTATTTGAAATTTGAAAAGTTTGACTTGGAAATGTTAATTTCAAGGTCTTAAATTTAGAATAATGGGACAGGATTGGGTGGAAGGATTTCTAGATGGAAGTTAAAACCCTAACCATAAAGTAAACCTAAACTCTATAAGGAGAGTAAGTAGGTGCACTAACCTAATTGTTTGTTATAATGTCCTCGATTAAGATGCCCATGACTTTTCATCATCTTGGATTTCTCAGTCTTCTTAGATTATTAACCAATCAAATAATTATATGTATCCACTTAACAACATAATGATGACGAGTATAGTCCTTTTTACTATTAAGTGGTTTGAGGCGCCTTCATCCTATAGAGCATCCTACACATGCATACAGACTACATTTGATAGCATATGATAGCTACACATGAAATCACATAAGACCTATACATGTGGAAGTGCATGAAACATATAAATTAATGTAAACTATATGTGAGTATTTCCACACATGAAAATAAACTATAGATGGTGAAAAATAGGCATAAAAACATAAAAGACTTTACATATGGAAGTACATGAAACTTACAAATTGGCTTAAATTATATATGAGTATTTTCATACATGAAAGTAAACTGTAGATGAAGAAAACTAAACATGAAAACACATAAGACCTTACAAATGGAAGTAAATAAAACTTACACATGGAAGTAAATTATAATGGAGGAAATTTCATATGAAACCTACACATGATTCATTCGAACTCATGACTTTAACACATGGAGAAATCATATATGTCTTGCACATTGTTTTTGAAGGTACTTCAATTTGATCATGTTCGGACGTATACTTTTGACCCATCACATGAGGATTACTCATATATAAGTTTTTTGTTTATTTATTTTTATTTGTTTGTCTATTTGTACCATATATCTTTCTTTTCGATTCTTCTCCTCTTTAAATCAATGATTTGATTCACGATGGAGATTTATTCGAATAAGGGAATTATACAACGACATATAAATAGACAAATTGACGACTCTTAGTGCTCTAAAAAGAACTGAGAAAACAAAAAAGTCTGAGCAGTATCCATGCAGTCATTAATCATTGCTAACTAATTGGTTCCCATTCTTTTAATTTTTTTTTATTTATTTTGACACTGGATTGGTGAGCAATGCATATTCTAGAGTGTATCTCCTTGATGGTCTTCTAGGCTTTGTTCTTATCTAAGAAACATAACCATATATAATCAAAAGATATTTAGTATAGTGTGTCATTTATATGGGTATAAGATAACACTTTGGACTTTACCCGATGAGCTAAAGACTTTTCAAGTAGTTTGCCTTCCTGTAGGTAATCTACAAATGGTTTCCCTAATTAGTCAATTCTTCAATTTTTATGATGATAACAAGTTTTTAAATCTTGTGTCCATGAACATACTCCATATCAATTGGTGAAAGGATCCAACAACCTTGAATTTAATTAATTGGCACAGACTCTTCTTCTAAGTAAAATTATATCTTTAGCTTCTTCGTCAAAGCATCTGTTATAATGTTGTTATCACATGGTATTTGGTATAAGGTAAATTTTGATATTTGTTCATGTAACTTCATGGTGTACTAGTAGCATTGATGAAGTTGTGGTTTGAAGATTTTTTATGTTCCAGCAATATGAACTGTGAATCTTCAATAATTTTGATCTTTTAAATTTCTATCAAAATTATTAACTATGGGCCAATAAATTGAGCTTTGTACTCTCCCTTAATGTTAGTACACGGGTCTGATAGAAGATATAAAAAACCTCATCATCCCATGATCAGAGATTATGAATATTAATCATATCTCTGGTTTGTCAAGGATAACTGATTGTGAATTGGCATCTTTCTTGATAGATGAAGCGCCATCAAAGTTAAACTCCCAATAAGTTTTTTTCTTTTCTTTTTCATCCATAGTTAAGATTTTTTCATCAAGGTAGGTCGTCATTTACATGATTGTCAATAGGCAATGGACTTGTTTCTAAGAAATCATCTAAAGCCCATAGATTTATCAAATTGCAATAAGATGTTGATCAACTTGCTATTCTTCCCAATCAATTTGGACGAGTCATCAAATATTTCAAAGAATTAAACCTAATTTTTGGACTACAAAAATTGAAGCTAAATAGTGCTTTTCAATTGAAGGATAATTCTTTTTAGTTGGAAAAAATTGATGACTTAACCAGTATAATGCAGTCTTCTTGCATGCCTCATTAGTTTGGGCTAATAAGGCACTAAGGAATTCATCTAAAGAAGCAATATAGAGGATTAACAACCGATCTGGGATGGGGGATGCTAATACTAAAAGTGCCATAAAATATTATATTATTCTTTCAAAAGCATGTTGGCAATCATTATCCCAATGAAAGTTGACATTCTTTTTTAAAGCATAAATGTGACAGCACTGATCATGAGGAGATCTACTGGTCTAGATGAAAAGAGTACGACGAAAGAAAGCCTACTGACAGAAGAGCATGAGGCCCATTTATTTGAATGTGTGAAGTTGTCTGAGCCAAGCCAACAAGGCCAAAGTTGACTAAACCATGGGACAGATGAAAAACGATTAAAGGACACCAGAACGAGTCACTCAACAAAAAACGAGAAAGAATAATATCTGAGTCACTTGTCACAATAAAGCTAATCCAATGGAAGATCTATTTTTCTAATTTCTCCAATAATTTAAGGGACGCATAGGCTCCTCATCAGAAGTAAAAATCGACAGTTGGGCCATAATCAAATGTCTAACCCATATCGATCAAGCACATCATACTAAGTGGATCTCAACTGACCGAGATGATCTTGCATACCCAAAGCCAATCAAGGCTCGACCGACCAAGCTAGAGAACAATCAAGCGACATGCTCATATATGTAAAAAAACAAGAATATCAGGTACAACCCTCTTTAAAAGTAATGATAAAAATATAATATCATCGTATTGTACTCTCTCTTCTATAAATAGGGAGAAAAATTTTAAAATAATACACGATAGACGCGACATATTACTATAAATTACTGTTCATTCATCTCTCTGTCTATTTCTTTCTCGTGACTTATGTTATATTCCTTGGGGTGTGATGCGCAGACACATCAAGATTCAACAAAAGTTTTATATATCTCTAAGCCGTGCGTAAAGTTATCATTGGTATAAATAACTTTGATCTCATGGACATAATTTTAGAAAAAAAATTATAATCAACACTTTATGCAAGAAAATAAATCACTTCAAAAAAGTATGGCCAAATAATTTAATTAGTTTAAAAAACATTAAATCACGTAATTATAATCACAATTTAAAAGTTAATACTGATAATTAAATAAAAAATTAAAGGAAAATTTAAATTTGCTTTAAAAAAAGCATAAATAATTTAAGAAAATAAATATACACTTTAAAATACAAGAAAAAAGCATAAATTCATAGGAGAGATCGGTGAAGCAATTACAATTTTGGAACTATAGCTATAAATTTGAAAAATAAATATATTACATAATTTATTTATAAAGTGCATATGAAAAGTCCTCTAAGAACTAAGCATTTCACACAAATACCAAGAATATCATGTATAACCTTCTTTAAAATAGAAGTAAAAATATAACATCATAATATTGTACTCTCTCTTCTATAAATAGTGAGATCATTTTATAAATGAGATATGATAGACACGATAGACTACTACTCATTACTGTTCACTCCTCTCTCTGTCTCTTTCTTTCTTATGACTTCTGCTATATTCTTTGGGGTGTGATTCACAGACAAATAAGGATTCAACAAAAATCTTATATTTCCCTAAGTTGCGCACAAAATTTTCATTGATATAGATAATTTTGATCTCATTGTCATAATTTAAGAAAGAATATATAATCAACATTTTTATGCAAGAAAATAAATAACTTCAAAAATGTGTGGCTAAATAATTTAATTAGTTATTATCTGATTTAGATCACGTAGATATAATCACAATCTAAACTTTAATACTGATAAATAAATAAAATTTAAAGGAAAATTTTAATTTGCATTAAAAAAACATAAATAATTTTAAAAAATAAATATACGCTTTAAAATACAAGAAAATACATAAATTCATGGGAGAGATTGGGGAAGCAATTGTAATTTAGAACTATAGCTAAAAATTATATATATATATATATGTTCGCGAACAGCTCATGTTTGGCTCGTTAAGTAGCTCGTGTTCGGCTCGTTCGTTAAGTAAACGAGTTGAACATGAACAAGTTTTTAAAGATCGAATTATAAACAAGCCGAACTCAAACAGCTCTTTCTTCGTTCTTGTTCGGCTCGTTTTAGCTCGAAATAAAAAATATATATATAATTATTTAGATAATAATATATTATATATATTTATATCTAAGTTTAAATCGTGAGAACTTGTGTGATAATGTGGTTAGTTTTTTTTTTTTTGCATACATTTGGTCTAGGTTCGAATCCAACATTTTACATATATTTTTTTTCAATTTAACTTTGACGAGTCAATTTCGAGCGGAACACGAACACAAATATTTAAATAGAACCGAACATTAACGCACTGTTCACGAGCCGATTTCAAACACGAACAGTTTCGAACGAGCCGAACACGAGCCAAATCTGAGTTCCCTCAAGCTTGGCTCATTTACAGCCTAGCATGGTACATAGGTAAATGACACTCATTTTTTCTGTACACCAAAAAATAATAATAATAATAATAATAATAAAATCTTAACCAATTGAATGAACAATGAACAAGAATAAAATATCTTAACCAATTGAATGAACAATGAACAAGAATAAAATTTTCAGAAAAAAAAAAAAAAGAAAAAAACCGTGATCTATCTCTGAAAAATAATTACACCAAAATTACCGTGCAAATTGCAGTGAATCGAAAGATAGAGAGTTAAAATTGATTCGATCAAAATGCCACACAAAGCCATCCTTTTAAAAAAATATTATCTCAGGAGTTCTGATGCATCAGTATTCCAATAGATTGGGTGTCACGTATGCAATAATCTCACTGTGACGCCACATGACACCCCACCATTGTATACTCCTGAGGTAATATTTTTTCTAGGCACAAATTACAGAACAACTTTCCCTCCGTTTCGCTCTCATGCTTGATCAACAATCTAATTCCACTAATCCGAAGAACAACTCCAGGAATCCAACATACCTCCCCTGCAAGCCGATCGCAGGCTCTCCAATCGCTTCTCCTCGCCGAAATCTTCATCCACTTCCCCCAATCCAGCCCTAGCGACGAAGCCGTCGACTCCCCTGCTCACCCCAAACTCCTGCGAAGCGAATGGCGGGATGGATTGGAACACAGAAGTCGGAATTTGGTAGATGGGAGGGATCGATGAAGTTAGGGCAAATGAATCCGTGGTTCGGAGGGTTGGGGAGAAGGGTTGGAGAAGGATCGGGGGAGAGAAATTGAGGCGGGAGTGCAGGGGAAAAGAGGAAGACAGGGGAGGGGAGGGGATGCCGGTGAAGACCTGGACCATGGAGCGGAAATTGGAGGTGTCGGTAGCAAGGACGGTGGTCGGGGGTCGCCGGGAGGGGCGAGATCGCTTCTTGGAGGTGCGAGGGGTGGTGGCGGTGGGAGGCGGAGGTGGTGGAGTTGTTGGAGTGGTTGGGAAAGGGTTGAAGAAGGAGGGGAGATGGGAGGAGGAGGAGAGGGGGTGGAAGAGGGTGTCACCGGAGGCGGCGATGTAGGAGGAGAAGGGCATGGTGTTGCTATCGCCGGAGTCCATAGAGAGAAAAGGGAAGGATGATCGCTGTAGAAGATGGAGTTGCAGAAAGTACTTGGGAGTTATAAAGGCTTTGAAGCTGTTGGGGATCGGAGGCACATGGTTTGCGTAAGCTCTAATCATTTAAAATTTTAAGTTTTTGTTAGTTCAAAAAATTACCATAAGTGTATGATTTGTGATGTTTTTGTAAATAGTAATGTTTCTTGTGTACTATATATATATATATATATATATTGTACATTAGGATAATATTTTTATGTTTTTAATAAAAAATATCATGTGGACCCCACCTAAGAAATGGAGTGCTTAGAGTGCATTCAGTAGTATTTTCTTAAAGAAATGACTAAATAAATTATATGAGGTATCTCGGAAGTTACATATTTGTCTTTCTTTTTAATAAGAACGTTACTAGTAATTACTGTAGTATTATACATTTACATATTTGTATTTGATTTTCGAATTGTTTAATATTCGTAACTGTTGTTGGCATCGATTCGTGTTCATGATTATTTGAAGTGGGGTATAAATGACCTACTGATGTTAGCATGTTGCTTGATAATCATTTAGTCTGTTGTAAGGTGTTTGATCGGATGAAAGTTGTTTGGTCGGCCTTCTTGAGAGAACTCTCCTTAGAGACCTTGTTATCATTAGTATGTACTTAGACCGTCAGGCAGAGGGTGTGTTATTGTAATTTGATGGGCAGTTCTATTTCAGACAATATGTCTTCATAGAGAATTCGAATGACGTTATAGAGAGCGACAATTGGTTCTATTTGTGAAAGATCTCATAATCGATTGAGGGAGTTGACTACAAACGACTTTCCCTTAAATCAAGTGCATAATGTTCCTTCGTTCAACAGTGTTTTCCTTCGGTCGTCTCATGATTCCATCTGCATGAACTGAGGCTTAACATCTCTATCTTTTGAATGTTCTAATGCAATCTTTTGATATCTGTTTAACGAGATATGTCGAATTTTCTCGAGATTCCTGCGATCACATTTTCAATGTATGCTAATTTATTATTTTATTTAGCTATTTTTTTAACTTTTATGTTTCAGTAACTAAATGTGTTATAAATAATAATTAGTAAATTAAATCGAAAAAATTATGGAATAAATAGTTTATCTTAGTATTGATATCCAAATAAGCTCATGAATTCAGACTCAATGGTTGTATTATCTCACAATCAAATTTGTTTTCTTATGATTAGGATTGATTTAACCATCTACCACAAAATGATTTTAATAAAATAATAATAATATTTCTTACCCTCTCCCTTAAATAATTGAGATAATAGTATTTGCGGATGTGTAATTATCAATTAAAAAAGAGGGGTATCAATCAATATGAACTGATATTGATAAGATGAAGATTCCGCCATTATATTTGCACGTGTTGTATTGGCATGATTATATAATAGAGTTTTTAATACGCCATAGAGAAAATATTATTATTTATTTATCCCATTCATTAAACTTTAATATTATGAAATTCACACAAAAACCAAACTTTCCATTTCTCCAACCTCATCGGATCATTTAGATTTATCATTTAGATTCGAGCACCACTGACGAAATTTGAAATACCTTTGAAGGTTGCAACGGGTCAACTAAGACGGGATCGTGGTGTACAGAGACCACTGAAACTCTCATATTTATTCTCTTTAAATCTGTCTTTCCTCCATTAAATTCGTCCTTCATAATTCAGAAAATTTGAAGCTCAGCAAAGGTAGTGGGTGGGAGGAATTGGGAATTGAAAGGGATTTCGACAATTTCTCGTGTAACTTAAAGATGAGGAGCATCCCAAAGTTATTGTAAGTTCCAACAGTAGAGAGTTGAATTGAGTGGTGAAAGGTCTTTATATTTCTCTTAATTTTCATAGTGGAAGATTGGTGCGGCGTGGCTTTGTGATTTTTTCTCATTTTTTGGTTTTTTCACGTTAAATCTTAGTGTGGTTTTTCTGGATTTCTTTGTGTGCTTTTATTAGAATTTTGTTATGGATCTCTCAAATCAGTGTATTTTCTGCAACTTGGCTTTTATTGTTAACTGATCAATTCCAAAGTTTTCATCTTAGAAGTAGCATTAGAGCGAGGTTTTATTTATAAAGTTTTTGGAATCGAGTGGAAGCAATAGCCGACGAAGCAAGGTACAAAGTGGAGAAGTTCAATGGAACGAACTTTGTATTTTGGAAAATACAAGTGAAATATTTTTTTGTCTAACAAAAGAAATTCTAACTGTTGGTACAAGGAATCAACCAGAAGTATGAAATACTGACACTAAAAAAATAGAAAGTGTTTGATTGAATAGCCCTCGGTTTGCTATCTTTCATTTTAATTGTCTGTTGCATTCAATATAGTGAATGTAAAAATTAAGGTTGATCTAAAGGCAAGACTGATAACATGAAAATGACAGAAGGCAGTTTAGTGGTTAACACTTGAATAATTTCAATACTATGACTAGCCAATTGTGTTATGTGGGTATCGAATTTGATGATGAGGTAAGAGCACTATTAATTATATCTTCATTGTTCGACAACTAGGATGGATTTTTCACGATGATGAGCAACTCTTCAAGTAATATGAAGTTAATCTTTGATGACATAATGAGGTTAGAGTTGAATAAATATATTTGAAGAAATGCAGCAACTGGTGAACCTTCAAGTTATGTGTTGAATGTTGGAAAAAGGAAAAGAAATCTGAATAGAAATATAAGCAGTGGCATATTTAAAGTCTGAAAGTGGAAAGTCCAGATTACTAAAAGAATCTGAATAGAAATATAAGCATTAAAGTCTGAAAGTGGAAAGTCCAGATTACTAAAAGGAAATGACAGAGTTGAACGTTGTAAGTGCATGGAGAAAGTTCATTGCAAGAAGGACTACAAAGCTTGGAAGAAGGCTGATGGTAGAGGACAAGATATGAATCTCTCTACAGATATATCCACATGCTAAAACTAAGGCAACTTCTGGTTTTTTCCTAGTAGGTACTGAATCTTAGATAGTAGATTCAGGTGTCTCTTTTCATACATGACCCAATAAAAGAGGTGTTAAAAAATCACACTCAGAGGGATTTAAGGAAAGTTTACTTTTGAGATAATAAGGATTGCAATATCGTAAGAAAATGGTGATGTTGATATCAAATTGCTTGAACAGCTTGTAAGTTCAACAATGCTAGACTTATTTTAAGTTTAAAGAGAAATTTGTTCTCGATAAGTTAGATGATAAAGTCATTGTATGTGACTAATTTCACAAGTAATTCATGGAAGGTGGCCGGGGGAGGGGCAATATTGAAGATGCTCTTTACTTGATTAATGAAATGGAAGAATCCATTGATGTGGCTAAAACCAATGTTGATGTAATTCTTTAGCATTACAAACATGGCCATATAACCAAGAAGGAATGAAGTCTCTACTTTGAAATAACAAGCTTCATGATTTAAAATATGTGAATTTAGAGCTCTTTGAAGATTATGCATATGAAAAACAACATAATATTTGTCTAAATAAATGTGGGTTAATGATGAATTCAAAGAAGCTTGAGTTAGTGCATAGTGATGATGAGATCTAATTCCACTTTAGTCAATTGGAGATTCCCACTACTTGTCACTTTCATTAACGATCACAATAGAAATGAATGGGTTTATTTTTTAAAGCATAAATCTAATATATTTGAAGTGTTTAAGAAATGGAAGATCTTGATAGAGAATGAGATAGGTTTGAGGCTAAATTATCTCAGACCAAATAATGGGGCGATTAATGTGATCATAGATTTATGAATTTTGTGTTGTAGAATGGATCAGGTATTAGTTTACGAATTCAAGGACACCACAACAAAAAGGTATAACTTAGCGCATGAATAAAACCGTCACAAAATGTGTTAAGAGTATGAGGTTGCTTGCAGGCTTGTCATGATAATTCTAGGTAGAAGCAGTGAGCACTGATGTTTATCTGATCAATCATGGTCCTTCAGCACATTTGAAGAAAGGGTTACCTGAAGAATTCTCGAGTGACAAAAAAGGTAAATCTATCTCATATGAAGCATCTGAGTGTTCTGCATATGTCCATGTCAATGCAGAGTTTATGAGTAACTTGATTCAAAATTTGTCAAATGCACTTTCATTGGATATGACCAAGACATATACGAGTAAAAATCTCGGAACTATTAGAATTAAAAGTTCATTATGAGCAAGGATGAGACATTCAATGAAATTGAGATCTACAAGGGCAGGAGCATAACTCAGGATTTCTTTTTAGTTACTTCTACAATATCAAAATATATTGAGATAGAAGATGTTGGTGATTAGGAGGGTGGAGAAAGGATTACTCAATCAAATGAAACATATGAAGTTTCTTAGTTACGTGTTATTGAAGTCAGGAGGTCTAGTAGAATCTCAAAATTGACACAAAGATATTCTTCATTATACTATTTATTACTTATTGATAGTGGTGAAATAAAGTGATATGAGAAGACCACTCAAGTTGAAGATTCAAAGGTGTGAGAGTTTGTCATGGATGTTGCGATGTAGTCACTAATGCCAAATTGAACTTAAGATTTGACATTTTTACCATACGACAAAAGAGCACTACAAAAACAGTGAGACCACAGACTGAAAGAGGAGTTAGATGGCAGAGGTTACAACAAAAGGAGAAAGTTGACTACATTGACATTTTTTCTCTTGTGGTGAAGATGAAAACTATCAAAGTTTTGGTGACCTTAATAATTGATGAATATCTACATCTAAGCGAATAAATGTAAATATAATCTTCTTATATGTGGATATGGAAGAGAAAATGTACATAGTGCAATCACAGGGTTATGAGGTTCCAATGAAAGAAAATTTAGTCTATAGGTTGAGGACTGTCCCCTACGACTTATAACATGCTCTCGATATAGTTTTACAAGTGGTTTGACATGTTTATCTTAAATAGTGGGTACATGAATTGTTAGGCAGACCACTGTTTCTTTATCAAATATTTTGATAATTGTTATTATTAATCCTTTTATATATGGAATATATGTTAATTACGTGGGCACATATGAAGAAAATTAAAGAATAGCTTAAGCAATTATTAAGGAAATTGGAGATGAAGAATTTTTTGTCCAACCAAGAAGATT